TGAGATGATTTCGGGGTTTTAGTGTCCCCGCGGCCCGGTCCTCGACCAGGCCTCCACCCCCAGGAAGCAGCCCGTGACAGCTGACTAACTCCCAAGTACCTATTTACTGCTGCCCAAACATGTGTCTAAAATCCGTGCTAAACAGCCGATGACGTCAACACAACAGCAACAACTACTAAGGACAACAAGGTGAGTACATCCCTAGGAGCAGCCCGTAGCAGCTGTCTAACTTACCTATTTACTCCTAGGTGAACAGGAGCATCAGGATGAAAGAAACCCTGCTTATTTGTTTCGGCCTCTGCCGGGGATCGAACGCGGCCCTTAGAACTATGATCCCAGAGCACTGTCCACTCAACCTCGATGCCCCCTAACGTGGGTGTGTGTGCAGACAAATGGTAAAATACTAATACATTCACACACATTCACACACATTCACAAATACTAATACATTCACAAATACATTCACACACACACTACGGGACACCACGAGCGTGGCTCTCATCCTGTAACTACACTTAGGTAATTACACACACACACACACACATAGCGGCGGGATACTAGGCGGCATCCAAGAGTCAATGCTCGATCCTGCAGACACAACTAGGTGAGTACACACACACGCCCAGCAAGCAGCCCGTAACAGCTGTCTAACTCCCCGGTACCTATTTACTGTTATAAAAGTGTTACTAGGTGAGTACATGAGGGACGGTTGTTTGTGGGAGGATCCCTCCCCACGGCAGGGTGACACTGCCCACGGCAGGGTGACTGCCCACGGGAGGAAGGATATTGCCCACGGGAGGAGGGATATTGCCCACGGCAGGGTGACACTGCCCACGGTAGGGTGACACTGCCCACGGTAGGGTGACACTGCCCACGGTAGGGTGACACTGCCCACAGTAGGGTGACACTGCCCACGGCAGGGTGACACTGCCCACGGTAGGGTGACACTGCCCACGGCAGGGTGACACTGCCCACGGTAGGGTGACACTGCCCACGGTAGGGTGACACTGCCCACGGCAGGGTGACACTGCCCACGGTAGGGTGACACTGCCCACGGTAGGGTGACACTGCCCACGGTAGGGTGACACTGCCCACGGCAGGGTGACACTGCCCACGGTAGGGTGACACTGCCCACGGCAGGGTGACACTGCCCACGGAAGAAGGGAGAAGGGGGAACGCTGGCAGCCTAAGACATAATGTAAAGAAACAGATATATTTTCCCGCCACCTGACCGTTGCCCGCCCGTCTGGGCCGGACCCCGTTATACTTGCATCAAATTTCGTAAATACCATCCCACTCCCAGCCTACGGGACCTGTTCATTAACTAAATAAAAAACTTTTTCATTATAACTTCACGCTTAAAAGAAACTGTAACAAAGTTACTTGTCCAAATATTGAAGAGGTAGGCATTAATGGGGTCAGCCGGGTTCATCTTACAATGGGTCCCGCGGGAACTCTTCCCGCGCTTTTTCTAACGTTACTGATTTAAATATGGTGATGGCAGAGTGTTCGCATGCTCCGAGTGTTTGAGAAATACCTCTCTATACACTAAATTATGTAATTTGGTAAGCTGTCCCACATGTTTACCAGTCAATTAAAGAAAATATGGACATACATACGCTCTGCGTAATTTGTTATCCCCCTAGAGACCTTAAATAGAAGAGGGGTAGAAATAGCCTAAGCTATTCTATCCTTTTGAGATGTATTTTATTTCCTCAATAAACTTACTTGAACTTGAACTGCGTATTAGTGGTGTCAGGTATTGCTATTTGTAGGCTTCAGCCATGGTCTTACCTATAAATCCTACACAGCACACCTAGGTGTTTATATATATATATATATATATATATATATATATATATATATATATATATATATATATATATATATATATATATATATATATATATATATATATATATATATATATATATATATATATATATATATAATGAGATAGAGGCTTAAACAGTTTCTCACAGACATCTGAATTTATCTGCTGGACTGTTGTATCTAATATGGGAAAACAGCAGCAGACAAGCTATAAGAACCAGAGAAGACAGCCTACAATTAAGCTATAGGAACCAGAGAAGACAACAAACAAGCTACAGGAACCTGGGAAGCCAGTAGACAAGCTATAGAAACAATTGAAGTCAGCAGAGTGGCCATAGGAACCACCAAAGATAGCAAACAGGAATTACAGAAGCCAGAGAAGACAGCAGATAGGAGTTATAGGAACTAGAGAAGACAGCTGACAGAAATTATTTGAACCAGAGAAGACAGCTGACAGGAATTATAGGAACTAGAGAAGACAGTACAGACAACAGGGCTAGGGACCACTGCTGAAGACAGCAGACAGCTGTAGAAACCTCTGCTGTATAGGCAGCATATACAGCTAGAACCCATTGCCGAATACAACACAGTTATGTTAGGGACCACTATTAATGACAGCAGCCAGATAGATATATAGGCTAGGGACCAGAGCAGACAGTAGACAGACGGGCTAGGGGGCAGAGACGGGCTAGGGACCAGGGAAGACAGGAGAGACAGGCTAGGGACCAGGGAAGACAGCAGAGACGGGCTAGGGACCAGGGAAGACAGCAGAGAGACGGGCTAGGGACCAGGGAAGACAGCAGAGACGGGCTAGGGACCAGGGAAGACAGCAGAGAGACGGGCTAGGGACCAGGGAAGACAGCAGAGAGACGGGTTAGGGACCAGGGAAGACAGTAGAGAGACGGGCTAGGGACCAGGGAAGACAGCAGGGAGACGGGCTAGGGACCAGGGAAGACAGCAGAGACACGGGCTAGGGACCAGGGAAGACAGCAGAGACACGGGCTAGGGACCAGGGAAGACAGCAGAGACGGGCTAGGGACCAGGAAGACAGTAGAGACGGGCTAAGGACCAGGGAAGACAGCAGAGACGGGCTAGGGACCAGGGAAGACAGCAGAGACGGGCTAGGGACCAGGGAAGACAGCAGAGAGACGGGCTAGGGACCAGGGAAGACAGCAGAGACGGGCTAGGGACCAGGGAAGACAGCAGAGACGGGCTAGGGACCAGGGAAGACAGCAGAGACGGGCTAGGGACCAGGGAAGACAGCAGAGAGACGGGCTAGGGACCAGGGAAGACAGCAGAGAGACGGGCTAGGGCCCAGGGAAGACAGCAGAGACGGGCTAGGGACCAGGGAAGACAGCAGAGACGGGCTAGGGACCAGGGAAGACAGCAGAGACGGGCTAGGGACCAGAGAAGACAGCAGAGACGGGCTAGGGACCAGGGAAGACAGCAGAGACGGGCTAGGGACCAGGGCAGACAGCAGAGACGGGCTAGGGACCAGAGAAGACAGCAGAGACGGGCTAGGGACCAGGGAAGACAGCAGAGACGGGCTAGGGACCAGAGAAGACAGCAGAGACGGGCTAGGGACCAGGGAAGACAGCAGAGACGGGCTAGGGACCAGGGCAGACAGCAGAGACGGGCTAGGGACCAGAGAAGACAGCAGAGACGGGCTAGGGACCAGGGAAGACAGCAGAGACGGGCTAGGGACCAGGGCAGACAGCAGAGACGGGCTAGGGACCAGGGAAGACAGCAGAGACGGGCTAGGGACTAGGGAAGACAGCAGAGACGGGCTAGGGACCAGGGAAGACAGCAGAGACGGGCTAGGGACCAGGGAAGACAGCAGAGAGACGGGCTAGGGACCAGGGAAGACAGCAGAGACGGGCTAGGGACCAGGGAAGACAGCAGAGACGGGCTAGGGACCAGGGAAGACAGCAGAGACGGGCTAGGGACCAGGGAAGACAGCAGGGACGGGCTAGGGACCAGGGAAGACAGCAGAGACGGGCTAGGGACCAGGGAAGACAGCAGAGACGGGCTAGGGACCAGGGAAGACAGCAGAGACGGGCTAGGGACCAGGGAAGACAGTAGAGACGGACTAGGGAAGACAGCAGAGACGGGCCAGGGACCAGGGAAGACAGCAGAGACGGGCTAGGGACCAGGGAAGACAGTAGAGACGGACTAGGGACCAGGGAAGACAGCAGAGACGGGCTAGGGACTAGGAAAGACAGCAGAGACGGGCCAGGGACCAGGGAAGACAGCAGAGACGGGCTAGGGACCAGGGAAGACAGCAGAGACGGGCTAGGGACCAGGGAAGACAGCAGAGACGGACTAGGGAAGACAGCAGAGACGGGCCAGGGACCAGGGAAGACAGCAGAGACGGGCTAGGGACCAGGGAAGACAGACAATGGGTACTGTAAGAGGAGGGCCTAAACAAAGGCTTTGACGGGATGGGAACAATACCCGTCAACTAGGGAAGGCTACACAGGAACTGAAGCAGCCTACCTCCTCACGAAGCAGACAAGGGAAAATAGCAGAGCCGCAGAGTAAAAGCAGACAGCAGAATAGCCCAGCTTTACCCCCTACAGCAGCGCGTCTATCCTCTGGCGAGGAGCGTGGGAGGGAAGGGGAGGGGGGGGGGTGGTAAAGACAATATTTATTGCATCTTTCTTATATATACATTTATACGATTGTGGTTTAGGTAGTTTTATCTTTCTGACGAGACTACCGCAGGTGTAGAGATATAGGGGTAAGGTGTTGTGTGTGGCGCCTGCTGGTGTGTGTGTGGTGGTGCTGGCTCAGACGTGACCACTCAACACACAGTTATGGCCGACCTCTCCAACACATACATGTGATAAAACTATTCATCATTCTTGCTTCTTGATATTATTTGGTGCTTTAAGATGTGTAATAGTTGGCGGGAGACGGCGGAGGCGCCGCCACCGCCACGCCACCCGTTACACACAACTCTAGCACAACTTTAAAGGCAATAAATGCTTTTCCTGTGAGAGTATAAGTAGGTGGTGTTCAGCGCCACCAGCAAGAGCTCTTCCCTCCTCAGCCCCGGATCAAGAACTGAGACCTACCACCAATCAGCACCCGGGAAATTCCTCCAATCAGGTGTGAGAAACGTTCGCATTCTGTCCAATCAGAGATGCCGTTATTATAACCAATAAGGCGCCAGGCTGCACGGGACTCCAACCAATGGGAGAGGTGCGCGGGATGATGACGTCACAAGGGGTATATATACGGGGACTTAGGCCTTTTTAGCCTTTAGTCATCATTTACTGTGCCGAGGCAGAAGGAGTCTCACAGTCGTCCCAACATCAAGGTACTGAACAGTAACGTCTACTGTATTTGCTTTGCTCGTAATTAAGGTTAACCAGTGTTGTGGAGTGTAGAGCAGCGAGACGCAACTGCCTGGAGCAATTAATAGCAATAATTGCGCAGAGGAAGTTGAGTTTGTGAAAGTTTAGTTGCGTCGGCGCCGCCATCTTTGTTTATTGTGGATTCAAAATGGCGGTGAAGCGTCCCAGTCAACCGTCAGTATTAGTTTTTTTTTTTAATATTTGGCGGGTAAAGTTTCCCGCCAGAACCCCGTAGAAGAGGCGGGAAGACGGGAAGCAGGTGCCTCAGTCCACTTGAAGCACCACAGCAGTGAACACCGTCGCTGTGGCCTCGCAATCTTCGTATTTAGAAAATTCTAGAATACGTTCCTGTGCCACAGTTAAGGTTCCGTCCAATTGTTAGTTGGTACTCGTATACAGGTAAATGTGGCTGATGTAATTGATCCAGAATGGTCGGTAGTGATAACACATGTCGGGTTAGTGGTAATTGTTTATGGCTAAACAGTATAGAAAAATGACTTAATATTCCCCCCTTCAGACGTTGCTTTTGTGACTAAGACAATCGTAATCTGAGATTTTAGAATGAAAAAATGGGTGAAAGTGAGTCTTGGTTTTCATTGGAGAGTCCGTAGAGTCGAAGGTGTGGAAGTGGGGAAACTAACTCTTGAGCTTCCAGGAGTCCTGCCACCATTGTGGTTGACCTCCGCCCATACTGGTGCATGAAGGTGCCCAGCAAGGTGTAGGTCCTGTTGTATTGGTCCATGGTCCAGTCATGCACAGTGAGCCTGACTGGTACTTGTTCGTGGTAAGGCGTCACTTTTACTCCCAACTGACTTGTCTGGAATGTTCCGGAAAACGGATACATTAAAGGAAAGAAATAGCTTGTGGTGGTAGTTTGGGAATACTAGTCATTTTCTGTATTTTATGGCAAGTTCAAGTTTGAGAAGGAAATAAATCTTAAAAGGTTAGAGTAGCTTAGGCTATTTCTACCCTCGACTATAAGGTCCCTCAAAGGACTCGCAATCCCATACAGTACACAATTATTAATCATATTCTACATTTCACATTCCAGTGGTAATCACATGGCATGAGATCTATTATGCTGCCCGTGTCTTATCTTGTTTTGGTAAAGGCAGACTAAAGTTGGAGAAGGTACGAAATGAAGCCTTGAGAATACTCCCAAGATTCTTCTGGCCCGTGAAATACTAATACTGAAATTGAATTTAAGAGTATTGGGGATAAAATTTCAGAGATAAATGAAGCTTTGGTGATTAGCGAGGCGAGGGAGCTAATGACTTAATCCTCTCCACCTTAAAAGGTGGAAAGAAATATATAATGCATGTGAATGCATAATGGGATCCTTTTTTCTTTTTTAATGCTACACAGCATGTTTCATTGCCAAAGAAACAATTACCCACATGGGAGGAATACAACGCAGGTGCGGTAATTTTTGCCTATTTCAAACTTATCCTTGCTGTGGCTATTTATTTTATTGATAAGCATTCTCTTTAAATTGTATTATACCATTTTTGTTAAGCTGTTAACATTTTCCACCACACTTGGTTAAACACTGCCATCATTAATGGATAGTTCATTTTCCTGAGACTTGTGTGTGATATGCCATCCTCTTACTTTTTTCTTCCCTAAGTTTCACTCCCCACTACACCTGCTTGATAGGGTTCTGAGTTCTTTTACTCCCCAAGCCTGGCCCAAGGCCACCCCTGCTCTTCATTGGTTCTATTCTGCATTTTCTTCTATATTGTTCACTCCAATATGTTTTACTGTGTAGATTTGGTACTTGGCCCTCCAGTATTTTCCACGTGTATAATAATCTCTCTCCTCCTTTCTAGCTAGTACATTTGAAAGTTTTTGAGACTAATAATTTAGATGCTTTATTGCATCTGTATGCTATGTGTTATCTGTATTCCCTCTTTCAGCAGTCCCTCCTGCTCTGAATGGGGGGAGTGAGTACCGAGCAATACTCTAGACTGGACAGCATATGTGATTTGTATAGTACTTACAACCATTGTGATTGGATCCCTGGATTTGAAAGTTCTCGTGATCAATCCTATCATTTTTCTGGCCGACATAATATTTGCTTGGTTATGTCTTTAAATGTTCTATTGCCTTTTCTGTCCTAACTTATGTTGGGCTGGTGAACATCCTCCTTAAATAATTATTCATATTTACCAAATTCCTTGGCCAATTGAACTGTTCACTCCGATTTTTTTAAAGTTAATTGACATTTCCTTGTTGATAATTATGTCAAGGGAAATAACAGCTGCTTCCTTCCATTAATCTGTTCCTTTTGCTGTATTTGGTCCTGTTGCATCCTTCAGGATGTAACAAATAATTACTTAATTACACCATACAGGTGAGATTGTCCTGCTGAGTTTTAGAACTTTGAAACCCAGGTCCCGTCTGTCATCAGTTAGTATCTCACAACTCCTGTGCATATTTTTCCACTTTTGTCTCTGGTCATTGCTACCTGAAAAGGCCTGGAATAGTCTTGTCAGTCATCCATCAGTTACTGGATCACAAGTTCACAACTTTTTAAGAGCACTCACCTTAGATGTACCCTTCCTGACTACGGCCATGATAGAACTCGTCCTTGGAGGCATAAGCAATTGGTAAACATTATCCAGAAAAAACACAAATGTGTTGCATGAAGTTGTGCTCAGAAGTAGTTTTCTGGCATGCTGAATGAAGTGTAGTTCAGAGATAGAACAGGTGAAGGTTGCAAATATTTGTTGAATAACTACCAGTGAAGCCCATCTGTTATCACTGCTCTAAACAAGTCTAACCTTGCCTAATGAATGTTTAAATGTTGCCTTCTTTACAAATTCTGCAAGTGATAAATTTGAGTTTAATGGTTACCTGTGCATTAGTTGTAATTAGAAAAAAATCACAAAGTCCACAGGGTCAGACATTCCTATGACTGTAAAGATGCTTAGCGAGCCCTTGAAATTCATTTTATCATGTCCAGCAGAGTTCCAGGATAGATTACTTAGCTTAAACTTTTGACCAATTAGTTAATAAGATCTTGTGGAGAAAATTGCTTGAAATTTCCTTGCAAGACATTGTACAAATCTTGCAAAGCACAGATAAAGTCCAGGACATTGCTTTACTTGATGCTTCTAATTTAAATTCTAAAGCGGTCTAAATTAATTTAATAGTTGAAACTGAAATATGGTGTTCTGGGGCTCTACCCTATGTATTGTATTTAATACGATACATGCATTATCACTTGTAATGTATTGAACAGCAGTTCCAGAAGATACAAAAATATGGTTGGTAATGACATTCTGAAACTGATTGGCAGATGCAGTTTAATGTTGAGCTGATTGAAGGAAATACACAAAGATCTGGGTAAATGCTGGTTTAGGAAATTTGCTGAAATGTGGAACAAATTAGAATACTGATGATAAATTTGGACTTAGATTGGTTTAAGTGATGGCTATACTGTACTATTATATAGACTAGTTTGGGTGGATATGAATATACTAGTAATGTCAAAAAGAGCCCCAAGATGCCTTATTGATTATCCTAAATGATTATCATTTAGTTGACTAAAGTTGACTTGTTTGCAGCCTCGGTAACACAGCAGGATAATTACTTAACATTGCATGGCTTTTGAAACTTGCCAATGATCAATTTTAAAGCATAATTATTTAACACTTTCGCGCTATCTGGACGCGCCGGCGCGTCCCGTTTCGTCTAACGCTAACGCATAGTGGACATAAAGTTGAGTCCTCTTTTAAAATATTTGTATAAAATTCAATTTTTATCCGATTTACTTTGGGTTTGTTTCAAACTGCGCGCTTTGAGGCTCTCTTTCTCACCACTATGCTGCATGGTACAATAAGTTCATGAAAGGTGTGGATAACTTCGATCAAATGGTATTTTGTCCCAAACGGGTTGCAGGTGGGTGACTTTAGCCGTTTATACTGGTAATGCTTCCCCCATATCATGTATTATATGCATATGTCTGTTTAGGGAATTTTATTCCGATCAATATACAACCAAAAATAACTGTGCAACAAGTATAAACTTGACAAACATAACAAAAGTAAAAACATTTCGTGTGTGTTTGACGCTCACTGATATGTTCCAGCGTTGTTTTATATTTGGCGCTATTCTAACTTACGCTTTGTAGATATTTTTTACCTATGGGCACATAGAACATTCTATTGCGAACACATTGACACAAATGAATGACGTACATAGAAAATTAATGTCATGAGAGTGAAGTAAGTATAAACTTTCAAAGCGCCGTGCGTCGTCCCGTCACCGATACCGGGTAACAATTTCACCACTTCCCACACTCTTGCGGGCGGGCCGCATCATTATTCTACGCTTATATTCATATCACCGTGTTGGGAATTTCATTGCGAGTCCATTGATACCAAAATTAACGCTGTAGAATAAGTGTGGAGGTGATTACAATCCCAAGAGTAAAAACATTTTGTTGCTGATGGGCGCTCACGGCGAGTCATCTTCGTAGTTATTTATTTGGTGCTGGTATCCCTATACGTTTCGTGACTTTTTTTACTGATGTTCTTCTAGAGAATTTTATTGCGAACACGTTGGTACCAAAATGAAATACGTAGCATGAGAACTAAGGTCAGAAGAGTAAAAAGAGTATACACATTTTTGTTTTTACGCTTAAGCGATAAAAACGCAGCGCGCACATTCGGTTGGCTGAGTGACCTTTGCGGAGAGCGCGAAAGTGTTAAATACTATAAAATGGCTTTAACAATTATATAATAAATTACTGTAGCTGGTACAGGCAGTTTGTAAACATCATATTGTACATTTAGTTTTTAATTTGATTACTTTAATGCTGTTGTAAGCAACATAAGATTTTGTTGACTTTGTACTATTAATGATTTTTTTATAATTAACAAATCTTTGCTTGGAAAATGGTGAAAGACTATTGCATCATATGAATTAGTTTATAATGTAAATTTTTTTCAGGTGAATCATGGCTCGTACAAAACAAACAGCCCGTAAGTCTACTGGTGGCAAGGCTCCACGTAAGCAGCTAGCCACCAAGGCAGCTCGTAAGTCGGCACCATCCACGGGGGGTGTGAAGAAACCTCATCGTTATCGCCCTGGTACTGTTGCCCTCCGAGAAATTCGTCGTTACCAGAAGTCCACGGAATTGCTCATTCGCAAGTTACCATTCCAGCGTCTTGTTCGTGAAATTGCACAAGATTTCAAAACTGATTTACGTTTCCAGAGTGCTGCTATTGGTGCCCTGCAGGTTGGTATATAATTATAGTATTTGTTATTGTGATTTGAGATGTTTATAACCATTATATATCTTTAGTGTTTGATGGTACAAGTGGACCCTATTGTAAGATTATATATAGTACAAGGAATATCTTTGAAATAAGATTAGTATTAATGTAGAGTACTAAACTTCAAACACATGATAAACCAATTTATGTGAACTAGCATAATGCTATTTGTTGGAGAAAATATTAGCATGGGTACAAACTTGCATTATTGGCTGTATCTTATTGGAGAGATTGTAGATCTAGGTGGCATGGCATTACAAATATAGTACAGTTTTATGCACGATTTATCAAGTAAAGACTCGTTGCATTGTTACCTTGATGGGTGTATATGAGCATAGTTTGCTGATGCTGCTTTGACATGTAAACTTCAGCAGTCTTGCAGGAGTAAGAATTAATGGTTTGAAGCTGCTTCACTAGCAAAATCATTTGCCACCAAAATTAGTTTGATTTTTGGGTTCTTGTGTTTTTGTTCTCGTCTGAACAAACTTGCCACAGGGGTGGATGCATATAAACAAAAGGAAGTCATGAGCAAGCTGCAATTGAAATGTTGCCAATTAAATTTTTTTATTGTGCAAGTTATGGTATAATTTTTTTCTTTGCATAGAATACAATAGTGGTTGATTAGTTGCATAAAATTGATGTTTAATAGTCACTAGTGCACAGAGCATTTTGGGTATTGCAGTTACCTTCATTAATTTTCTGCAAGGTTTTCATATTAGGTGAAGCTATGCCATTAGTACACTATGCCACTAAATACAATAATAAATTATGGAAAATTTGCAGTTAAAAATGGTAGATTAAGGGACAAGGGATGTCTCCCAGTTAGGGAACATGTCATTGGGTAGGTCTAATTTTAACTACTAATTATATACAGTAGGGTCCTTAGTAATGACTTCCTGTATGGTACACCACCTCCTTCCCCCTTAAGTTTAATGGAACAAATGTTAGTTTTATTGAGGGTTGTTAATCAAATCTGCCACTTGTCAGGATGCAGCTTAACTTGCCTGTCAGGATGCAGCTTAACTTGCCCGTCAGGATGCAGCTATGTTAGTAGCCAAATTAATCGAACCAAAACATTTATTCATAAATGTTTGTACATTTATGATTGGGGAAAGTTTATATAAAAATTGCATTTTGCTAATTATATGCCACAATAACAGCATAGTACATTTACATTGGTGGTCAGAATCATTATTTGTAATAACTTTGTAAATCATTACAATAAAAGTTGAACCTGTTTTAAATTAACCAGGTTTATTGCAATCAAAATCAAATGTACATTTTTAGCATAAAGTGGGTATTACTTGGCTTAAAATTAAAAAGGTAATACAGTATATTGTAAAAACTGAGAGGTTTACCAGTAGTGTCAAAACAACACATTAGCATAATTTATCACATTTAGGATAAGACAGAAGTAGAACTTGAACTAATCATACCATAATGTTAAAGAAATTTGAACTTGTAGCATTCTACATCAACCTCGTAGCCTGGTGGATAGCGCGCAGGACTCGTAATTCTGTGGCGCGGGTTCGATTCCCGCACGAGGCAGAAACAAATGGGCAAAGTTTTTCACCCTGAATGCCCCTGTTACCTAGCAGTAAATAGGTACCTGGGTGTTAGTCAGCTGTCACGGGCTGCTTCCTGGGGGTGGAGGCCTGGTCAAGGATCGGGCCGCGGGGACACTAAAGACCCGAAATCAACTCGAGATAACCTCAAGATAACCTAACAGTCAATTATGTACAGTGCATAAATTCCTTAAAACAAACATAAATTTTTTAAAATGTATTTAAGAAATTACAAAATATTTGTGTACAATTTGCGAAAAAATCATTATATATCGTGTGGCTTGTCCATGCTAAAGTCAACTCTTGAGCATATTTGCATACTTGTGTATTTTAAATATTTTTAAAATATTTGTAAAATATTTAAACCCAAAATTAAATTATAAGTATTAACCTAATACCTATTCAAAAAAGTTGAATATTTCTGGACGAATTACTAAACAGAAGAATGGCCCCAAAAAGTGGGTTGCAAGACACTTCCTTTAAACTGTACCAGGAAGTTCCATTGTAGGCCTCTTATTCAGTACTAAAATGCTTGTCAGTTGTGTAACTTGAGGGTGTTGCATGGTATGAACAGTGGCATAGCCCAGGAGTTGATGACTATAGGCCCAGCGGCCAGCCAGTACAGTCTGCAGTAGGATGAAGACATTTGGGGTTGCATCCTGGGTGGGGGGTGGTGGAGAGGGAAGTGGATATATGGCAGGGGGCACCTAATTTTTTCAATCATTACCCACCTTTTTCAGAAAATCTATTTCCCACTTGTCAACCATTGCATTCCCATATTTACAAAAGTTTAGTAAATACACCTAGCATGATTGCTATTATTGGATAAAAAAAACTGCCCAAAGGATGAGTTTTTGTATGTTACATAACATAACAAGATATTAACTAGCCATTTTAGCCTTTACTTTTTTATCATTCTCATTTTTACCTTCCCCTTTATACTATCATGACCCCTCTTTACCCCTTCCACCACCACTTGCCTGGTTGAGATCCCCTAATCCCTAGAAATGGTTTTTTAAACAGATTTCCATATAATTGTAGCACAGCTTGTGTGTTTTTTTTTTTTGAAAGATGAGATTATATTCAAAGTGTATTGAAAGTAATTGTATTAACAAAAATGTCTTTACTTTCAGGAAGCTTCGGAGGCCTATCTTGTTGGCCTGTTTGAAGACACTAACTTGTGTGCTATCCATGCTAAGCGTGTCACCATCATGCCCAAGGATATCCAACTTGCCCGGCGAATCCGTGGTGAGCGTGCTTAAGCACAGTCATGCATATTGTGCTCACTTAAGACATAACCTCCTAAGCTACATACTGCCATGGACAAAGTGAATGTGTTTAGTTTACGTTTTCAGCATGTCATTTCTCTTGAATTGACTTCGCAGTGCTGGCATGTGCGACTGGCACAAGTTTTTTACTGTAAGATATAGCTGAGCGGCTTTTACTGCTCGCTAGTGGAAAATTGTGACGCAAGAGTTTCTAATTTATTTTGTGTGTACAGCATTGTTCAGAACTGTGTATTCGGATGTGATTATCTTTTAGTTTATCGATGTGCAAGTCGTTGAAAATTTCAGCTGTGTGATTTAAAAATTCAAGAATACACAGGTCTGGTGTAGGTTATGTGATCACAAATAATATTCCAAAGTACAAGAAATCGTCAATTTTCTGGTCCGGGAACAATCTGTCATACTGTATTTGTATTGTCGATGTCACGGTCATTTCATATTCATGATCTTATTTTAGTTTAGTGGGAAAGCCTTTTTATTACCTTTAGTTTTAAGTCTTAAAATCTGTCTCTTTACTTATGGTGGTGCGTACTTCAGATGACAAATTTATTCCGCATCACTCTCATTTCTTGACATTGGTATTTGCACTGTAGATTTAAACCAAAAATAAATCTTCTAACATTTTTAGTTTGTTTGATTTACTTTACTTAAAATGAAGAGGCAAATTCATGGCTGCTGGTATTTTGGACATTTGCAAATTTGCTTAATTATCGTGTACTTCTCAATGTGTAGTATTATATTTGCTCTTTCTTAGTACAAAGCAATCTGCTTTTCCTCAAAAGCAAGTGGTATAATCCTTAACTTGCAAAATGGATTTGCATAGTACTGTACTTCAAAGATTTGAGAACCAGATTTTTTCAACCATTTGTTTTGATGGTTGTCAAAGTACTTAAATCAGATATACGTTAGCCAATCCAAAGCTATAGTGTAAATTATTCACCCTGTTATTAGCCTATTCTAAAATACTCTTGTTAAAGATTTTAGTCTACATATTATATTATAGACTAATTACATTGACATAATTATATTATGTATATATTATCTACATACAAGTAATGGTTTACTTGTAACCATTAGTTGTATATTGACAAAACTAGGGGTAGATTATTAATTCCACACATGAAGCATGTCTTGCCGGATAGTCTTCTGGTTTAATCTATATTGTCAAGCCATACCACATGGTTATTTAGTAATGTAGCATGAATAAAGTTTCTTTACAGAAGATTACTGGATGGACAACCTAGGGATTGAAAGCTTTACTGAAATTGTTCAAAGTATGCTTAAGAATGCAAGGAACAAATATTTTGATAATTTAGTAGAGCAAAGAACTGAAATTTTAGGGAGTTGCAAATGTACCATTCTTCAAGCTGTCAAAGGAGTGTCTCTTGCTTGTAAGAGTGCTGATATATCACAGGTTAGCAAGGGTAGTGTTCAAGAAGTGCAAATGATCACTTTTCAAACTATTTGCCAATTAACTTTGTAACATTGAATTGCCATTGATAATTTTTTAATGTTAAATCAGCATTACTCTTGGATATTGTGACAGTTTGGGTAGCCTCTATTGTTGAAAAACATGTATCCATAATTACAGTCCATTTGTATACATCTTGGAAAAACATTAAACAAATTCTCAATGTGCCTCTACAATGGATTGTTTTTGACAAATTTTCATTCATTCACTCTATTCCACGAGTACTTGAGGTAGTTGATAACTGGGAAGAATTTGTGACGTAGCTTGACTAGTAAAGGTTTTGGTAATGTGCTTCACTACAGTATTAGAAAAGTAGGTGTGGGTGTTATACATTGATAAGGTTATATAAACGAAATCAGTGGCAGACTTTGGCTTTGTCCTGGGACCAGGTCAAGATTTTGTAGGTTCCTGAGGTACTGTGAGTATATTATTTTCATAATGAAAACAATTTTAAGATAAATTCAATTGAATTTTACAAGGCAAACAATGATTAAAATTCAAACATTTGCTTTACATAATAACAAACATCAGTAAATTGTAAGGTACGGAGAACATCGTTTTTAATTGAGTAACTCGTTTAGTTCTTGTGCCATTGTTGATCTGTGTACATTGTTTAGAAGTTCATTTTGGAGAACCTTCTTCAGTTGCATTAGTTATATTGGCCTCGTATGGGCCAATAGGCCTTCTGCAGTAACCTTTGTTATATATTAAACACTCGTAAATCCATAGTGCTTTTTCAATATTGGGGAATGAAGTTAATCCATTATTTACAAGTGGGTCTCTTTAAATGAGCGTGCGGACGCTATCCGCACTTGTCCCATCTCGTAAAAGTGTTTCTTATTCAGACTTTTACCCAGTTATTCATTCCTCCATCCTTTCCTGTTGGCAGGGTTGTTGGTCTTCTGTTACTGGTGACAAACTGCGTACTCTTAGGAGTAGTGTCCCCGTGGCTTTCCTCCTCCTGTAACTGGCTGTGGGAAACGGCTCTGGCAAGGTTGCATATTGGCCATACACCCTTGACTCGTGGGTACTTAATGGTGCGCCGTCCTGCTCCTTATTGTCTAAACTGCATTGTCCCTCTTAGTCATGCATATCCGTGTTGAATGTCCTTGCTCCCAGGACGAGCGTGCATCTTGCTTAACGACCGCCCCTCGCGGTCACCTGTCCCTCAATAGAATTCTTGGTGACTCAGATACTTTTGATATCGTTCGCCTTATGCGTTTTTGTTCCCGTATTGGCATCCTTGGTGATATTTAGCACCCTCTGATTATTCTGCACATTTGATGGTGCTACATAGCCTTCCCGGTTTGGTGCCTTCTTTTGATAATTACTTACTTGCTTCCCGGCTGTCCCTCGGTCACTTGTCCATTGATAGAATTCTTGGTGAATCAGATACTTTTGATATCATTCACCTTGTGAGTTTCTCATATTGGCATCCTTAGTGATAATTAGCGCCTTATGATTATTCCGCACATTTGGTGGTGCTACATAGCCTTTCCGGCTTGGTGCCGTCTTTTGTTAATTATTTACTTACAAGGGTGTAAATATCAAACTTTTTTTTCATGATTGTGTCTGAATTCATTAAATTGCCTCAACAGTTTCTGAAGTGAATTTCTGGCACAAATATAGTTTGGTGTAATTAAAGTAAATCTGAATTCTCTAATCTTTTGAGTTATACTGTACAAATATTCTAAAGAACTACCACCAAAAGTCCAACTACAGACATTGGTTCTTGAATATAAGGTCCAGCATTGTCACCTCAGTTGACTGCCTCTTTAGGAAAGTTTAAATCACTTTCATCGCACTAGGAGGTACATAAGAATAATTACATGAATAATCTAGTTTCCCTACTTTGTCAGGGAAGATGCATAAAATTCTCATTTCTGCTGATTGGTTGTTGCTACTCTCCCATGTATATAATGTAAACTATTTTGTATTAACATTCAGGTATAACGCCCCTATCGACTGCAAATGGAAATAATCGCATTAGTGCCATCTAAATTAAGCTATATCTTGCTCTAGTTAGGCCCCATTTAGATTATGCAGTTCAGTTTTGGTCACCATATTATAGAATGGATATAAATTCACTTGAACGTGTCCAGCGTAGGATGACTAAGTTAATTCCCCAAATTAGAAATCTTTCATATGAAGAAAGATTAACAAAGCTTAAGTTGCATTCACTGGAAAGGCGAAGAGTTAGGGGTGACATGATAGAGGTTTACAAGTGGGTGAATGGACATGACATAAAGGGGATATTAATAGGGTATTAAAAGTATCAACACAAGACAGAACACGAAACAATGGGTATAAATTGGATAAGTTTAGATTTAGGAAAGACTTTGGTAAATACTGGTTCAGTAACAGGGTTGTTGATTTGTGGAACCAATTGCCACGTAACATTGTGGAGGTGGGGTCCCTCGATTGTTTCAAGCATGGGTTGGACATGTATATGAGTGGGATTGGGTGGTTATAAATAGGAGCTGCCTCGTATGGGCCAACAGGCCTTCTGCAGTTGCCTTTGTTCTTATGTTCTTAAGGCATGTACATGTATAATGACAGTGGCTTGTCCAGTTGTAAAAGTGATAGGGTTGCTTGTATGTAAAAGTGATAGGGTTGCTTGTAATAGTTGTAAACGTGATAGGGTTGTTTATAATGGTTTAAAAGTGGTAGGTTTGCTTGTGATGGTTATAAAAGTGATTGGGACAAAGTCGAGCCTGTGGACAAGAGTTAACAGCTTATTCTAATTATCTTTGCTCTACGAGTACTGGAGTAGTGTAGAATTTCTCTCCTCGTGGTCACTAGAGACCTGCCAATCAGAGGCAGCAATTATACAAGAAAACATTTGCCAACTTTTATTTTATTAATTCTTCTGCTGCAGACAGCTTGAGTAATTTTAGGTCTAAGGTGTGTGCTGATTCTGACTGTCAGTGCTAAGGCATCTGGAGTACTGTAAATTAATTCTGCAATTTTTTTTTTTTTTTGGGGCGTATGACCATCAGAGGTCTCGGTCTTAATTTGAAAAACTTTGGAAGTAACCAATGCCCACTTGACCTCTGTGATGGTGACTCATGTATTTCCATCACACCCCATCAACACCCTGATGGGTATGAGGCAGGATATTAATTTTTATTCAATACTATTAGAGATATTGACATGACAGCTGAGTGGACAGTGCTTTGGATTTGTAGTCGATCCCCAGTGGAGGCTGAAACAAATGGGCAGCGTTTCTTTAAGAAACACTCTGATGCCCCCTGTTCACCTAGCAGCAAATAGGGTCCTGGGAGTTAGACATCTGCTACAGGCTGCTTCCTGGTGATGTGTAACAAGAAGATCTTGTCAAGGAATGGGCCTCAGGGACGCTAAGCCCCGAAATCATCTCAAGATAGTAATATAATAAATTGTAATAACAATTGGGTCTATCTGATTGAACGTGTGAAAAAAGTGGACAATATAACTCTATAGAATGGCAAGAAATACATTTTTTGAAGGGAGAACTGTGTTATCAGGCACAGGCCTTCCCCACATATTCAGTAAGTGTGCAAAAGTACAGTAAACCTACTGTATGGTATCTATAGCCAACTCACAATTGGGAATTCTAGGTTCAAATCCTGGACAGGACACAAATGATTGGGTGCATTTCCTATCATCTAATGCATCTGTTCACCTATCAGTAAGTAGATACCCAGGAGTTTTGTCACCTTGTTGGGTTGCATTCTAGGTAAGGTCAATAGTTCAACCTTGGGGTGACCTCAATATAAGTCCAACATGTATACCGTACAGTATATACATTGGCTGCCTGTCCCACCAACACAATAAATTATTATTCTACAAGTTCTATTATTTTTCATAAAAGAAATTTAATTTTCTAATTTGAAATCTTTTTGGCATATAGAAATTTGACTTTTTCTGTAATCTCAATATTTTGTTTGTTTTTCTATAGCTTTGTTGCTTAAAAAATTGGCTTAGAATTATTTATTTGTTTGCTATGAGTGAAAAACTATTTTTGTTTCCCACATTCACATTTTGTACATCATTGTATTGTAATCTCTATTTTAGACATAACTCCATAAAATATTTTTTAATAGAATACAGTACTGTATTCTAAATATTTTCATTTTTTTTGTCAGAGCACTATGGGGGTATATCCATTTTTTTGCAGCTTATAGCCAAACTATAGGACCTAGAATATTTTATTTATTTTCCCACTCATAATTTCCTTTATAATTTCACAAGTTTGAAATTAATATACATTTATCACAAAAGTGGCACACAGGAAGTAGTCACCCCAAATAAACACTGCAGCAGAAGGGTTAAGGGTTCATCTGATTAATGCAATCATAAAATCTGGAAATCAACATACCAAATCTGAATAAATAAGACGTTATTCCATTTCCAAAGAGTCATGTACAATGCACATATATGATGTGTGCTCCTGTGTTGCACAGCTTTCAAAGGCTGGGTGTACATTTAACACTTGCAGCACCTGTACTGTACATACAAAATTTATAGGCAGACTCACAATAAAATGAAGGATACAGTAATAACTGTATATTTAATACATTTATTTACACAGGTTACTAAGCACTTTGTTGGATACTTTCATATTGGGTGTCAACTCTGGCACCAAAACATGTCATTACTTTGCAACTCTTAACCGATACACTGTCTACAGTTATTTCCTATGCAAGTAAGGTACCTACATTTTTATGTCAACTCAAAAGCTCACATCAGAATTGAAAGGAAAACAGAATTTGTCATTCATTGTTTTGGCAAGAATTAGATTTGCTCACAATATAGTGAAGTATTAAGATTTATCTACCGTCTTGTCCTTGATATCTCTGATTTCTGCTAGTCTTTCCAATATAGCTTTGGTGTCTTGTCCAGTTTCCTGATAATGCTTTAAACATATTTCTAGCTGCTTCTCCTCCAAACCATCTATGTGGTCATACAAAGTTCTTGAAAATTTGTTATCAATATCATTTTCTTCACGAAAGTAACAAAAATACAGGAGGAAGACTGTTAAACTCAATGACACGACATAAGGCTGCATCCAAGGAGGTCGGTTCTTGTCTGACGGATAACCACTGAATGTTTCTTGTGCTCTCCAGGTAGCAGCACGACTTGTTGAAAATTTAATTGGTTTATCTAAATCAATTTCTTCTTCAGGTGGTAACGTTGTCTTAAATCGGCAATTCACTGAAGTTAGTCTTCGAGGATACCTGGAACCAACGGAGAAAAAATAATATAATTGTATTTAACTTGCATTCATTCTCCTCCTTCATTATTTCAAATGATACCAAACAATGCTTTACAGTCATGTCACTGCAGTGTTTAACATTTTGACTGACACCAATTTCTCAACTTTATCCCAACAAAGGGTCAAAAAAGCAGAAAAGATAAAACTGTTAAATGTAATTAAATGCCTTTTTCATTTTCTTCCTTGATACCACCATCTCCTCGAGTTACATGCTAGTTACCTACCAAACCTTCAGTACCACATCAAGCTTTAACAATTTAAGTGCCTACACGGACCGGTCCCAGATGCTGGTCAGCTCATTAGAGAAAAACACGGCTCTGGGGATCTAGGATCACCACAGTAACTAAGAGAGAAGACCACCAAGAAGTGGTTAGTGCATAGGATAGTTGCACTAAAGTCCCACGTAATAAAAGAATTTGAGAGAGTGATTAGGAGTTAGGTCACCAGTTTCATGGAGACGAATGACCTTCACAACCCAGGCCAACATGGATTTAAGAGCGGGAAGATTGTGCCTCTCACAGCTACTTTACCACTACTGAAGTGAAGGGCAAGAGCTACGAAGAGAGGTTAGAGGCATTAAATATGCCAAAACTGGAAGACAGAAGAAAAAGAGGTGATATGATCACTACATATAAAATAGTAACAGGAATTGATAAAATCGATGGGGAAGATTTCCTGAGACCTGGAACTTTAAGAACAAGAGGTCATAGATATAAACTAGCTAAACACAGATGCCAAAGAAATACTGTATAAGAAAATTCACTTTCACAAACAGAGTGGTAGACGATTGGAACAAGTTAGGCGAGAAGGTGGTGGAGGCCAAGACCGTCAGTAGTTTCAAAGCGTTATATGACAAAGAGTGCTGGGAAGACGGGACACCACGAGCATAGCTCTCATCCTGTAACTACACTTGGGTAATTACTACGGCAGTCACTGAGGCATTAGAAGAGAAACAGAATGCAGATGTAGTATACACGGACTTTGCAAAAACATGCGATAAATGTGACCATGGAGTGATAGCACACATAATGAGGTCAATGGAATAACCAGTAAAGTAGGATGCTGGATACTCAGTTTTCTATCGAATAGAATACACAGAGTAACAGTCAACCATATAAAATTGAGTCCGAGCATAGTTAGAAGCTCTGTACCTCAGGGTACAGGGTCCTTGCACAACTGCTTTTCCTTATTCTCATATCAGATATAGACAAAAATGCAAGTCACAGTTTTGTATCATCCTACGCAGAAAAATTATCTAGTTTTCTCTTGAAGATGTCCACGGTTGTTCCACAGATGATTTTTGTGTCATCAGCATGAAAATTACCTCTGCTGAAGACATTGGAAAACGTCAAGCAGATATTAACAAAGTTTTTGACTGGGCAACAGAAAATAACATGATGTTTAACAGTGATAAATTCCAGGTACTCAGGTACGGTAAAAATGAGGACCTTAAACATAATACAGTACTGTACAGGGTACAAAACACAATCAAAACACAGGGTACAAATGCCCATAGTAGGAAAGCTGCATGTAAAGGATTTAGGAATAATGTCTGATGACTTTAGGTTTAGGGAGCATAACCAAGCAAATATTGCATGTCAGAAAAATGAAAGGATGAATTACAAGAACTTTCAAATCCAAGGAATTCCATTACAATGGTTATACCTATACAAATTACTTATAATGCCCCGTCTTCAGTACTACTCAGTACTGTACTCGTTTCCCCCTTCAAAGCAGGAGAGATTGCTGAAATGGAGGGAATACAGAGAACATGTACATCATATACAGACGCGATAAAGCACCTAAATTATTAGGATCATCTCAAAGCTCTCCAAATGTACTCACTTGAAGAAGGGATAGCGGATAAATGTAGAACAATACCGGGCCTATTCCACAAATTCATAAAGAAATTGCATGTAAAGGATAATATCCAGAGGGTAAAATGGGAAACAAATTCACAGAAAATGAAAAGGAAATATGCGAAACATTAAACGAAAAGTTCCAAAGTGTGTTTGTACAAAATGAAATCTTCAGAGAACCAGACACAATAAGAATTCCAGAGAACAACATAGAGCATATAGAGGTATCTAGAGATGTAGAGATGAAGTGGAAAATATGTTAAAGGAGCTCAGTAAGAACAAAGCAGTTGGCCCAGATAGAGTTTCACCATGGGTTCTAAGAGAATGTGCATCTGAGCTCAACATTTCAATTCACCTGATCTTTTAGGCATCCCTGTAATTACCTAAGTGTAGTTACAGGATGAGAGCTACGCTCGTGGTGTCCCGTCTTCCCAACACTCTTTGTCATATAACGCTTTGAAACTATCGACGGTCTTGGCCTCCACCACTTTCTCACCTAACTTGTTCCAACCGTCTACCACTCTGTTTACAAAAGTGAATTTTCTTATATTTCTTCGGCATCTGTGTTTAGCTAGTTTAAATCTATGACCTCTTGTTCTTGAAGTTCCAGGTCTCAAGAAATCTTCCCTATCGATTTTATCAATTCCTGTTACTATTTTGTACGTAGTGATCACATCACCTCTTTTTCTTCTGTCTTCTAGTTTTGGCATATTTAATGCCTCTAACCTCTCCTCGTAGCTCTTGCTCTTCAGATCTGGGAGCCACTTAGTAGCATGTCTTTGCACCTTTTCCAGTTTGTTGATGTGCTTCTTAAGATATGGGCACCCACACAACCGCTGCATATTCTAGCTTTGGCCTAACAAAAGTCGTGAACAATTTCTTTAGTATATCGCCATCCATGTATTTAAAAGCAATTCTGAAATTAGAAAGCGTGGCATTGGCTCCTCGCACAACGTTCTTTATGTGGTCCTCAGGTGATAGTTTTCTATCTAGAACCACCCCTAGATCTCTTTCTTTATCAGAATTCTTTAAAGATTTCTCACATAATATATAAGTTGCGTGGAGTCTATGTTCTCCTATTCCACATTCCATAACATGGCATTTATTAACATTAAATTCCATTTGCCAAGTGGTGCTCCATGTACTTATTTTGTCCAGGTCATCTTGAAGTGCATGACAATCATCTAAGTTTCTTATCCTTTCTATTATCATAGCATCATCAGCAAACATGTTCATATAATTCTGTATACCAACTGGTAGATCATTTATGTAGACAATAAACATCACTGGTGCAAGAACTGAACCCTGTGGTACTCCACTTGTGACATTTCTCCAGTCTGATACATTGCCCTCATTTTTCTATCAGTCAGAAAATTTTTCATCCGTGTTAGAAGCTTACCTGTCACCCCTCCAATATTTTCCAGTTTCCAGAACAACCTCTTATGTGGAACTCTGTCGAAAGCCATTTTTAGATCCAGATAGATGCAGTCAACCCAACCATCTCTTTCCTGTAAAATCTCTGTGGCTCGATCATAGAAACTGAGTAAATTCGATACACAGGATCTTCTAGATCGAAAACCATACTGTCTGTCTGATATTATATCATATCTCTCCAGGTGTTCTACCCATTTAGTTTTGATTAGTTTTTGATTAGTTAGTTTTAGTTCACTATTACACTAGTCAATGATACAGGTCTATAATTGAGGGGGTCTTCCCTGCTGCCACTTTTGTAGATTGGAACTATGTTAGCCTGTTTCCACACGTCTGCTTCGACTCCTGTACAATGTAAAACAGAACCGGGCCTATTCTACAAATTCATAAACAAAAAATTGCAGGTAAAGGAAATCCAGAGGTTGAAAATGGGAAACAGATTCACGGAAAATGAAAAGTGTGAAACATTAAACGAAAAGTTCCAGTGTGTTTGTACAAAATAAAATCTTCAGAGAACCAGATATTATGTGAGAAATCTTTAAAGAAGTGTGATAATGAAAGAGATCTAGGGGTGGTTCTAGATAGAAAAGTATCACCTGAGGACCACATAAAGAATGTTATGCAAGGAGCCTATGTCACACTTTCTAACTTCAGAATTGCTTTTAAATACTGTACATGAATGGAGATATACTAAAGAAATTGTTCACGACTTTTGTTAGGCCAAAGCAGCGATTGTGTGGGGCCCATATCTTAAGAAGCACATCAACAAACTGGAAAAGGTGCAAAGACATGCTACTAAGTGGCTCCCAGAACTAAAGGGCAAGAGCTACGAGGAGAGGTTAGAGGCATTAAATATGCCAAAACTAGAAGACAGAAGAAAAAGAGGTGATATGATCACTACGTACAAAATAGTAACAGGAATTGATAAAATCAATAGGGAAGATTTCCCGGGACCTGGAACTTCAAGAACAAGAGGTCATAGGTTTAAATTAGCTAAACACAGATGCTGAAGAAGTATAAACAAATTCACTTTCGCAAACAGAGTGGTAGACGGTTGGAACAAGTTAGGTGAGAAGGTGGTGGAGGTCAAGACCGTCAGTAGTTTCAACCGTCAGTAGTTTCAAGGTGTTATATAACAAAGAGTGCTGGGAAGATGGGACACCATGAGTGTAGCTCTCATCCTGTAACTACACTTAGGTAATTACACTAAGGTAATTACTAGAAAGGAGACGAGAGATATATCAAATAATATACAAGTGGAAAATACTGGAGTACCAGATCCCAAATCTACACAGTAAAATAACAACATATTGGAGTGAACGATATGGAAGAAAATGCAGAATAGAATTAGTGAAGAGCAGGGGTGCCATAGGCACACTCAGAGAACACTGTATAAACATCAGAGGTCCTCGGTTGTTCAACATCCTCACAGCGAGTATAAGAAATATTGCTGGAACAACCGTGGACATCTTCAAGAGAAAATTAAATAATTTTCTCCAAGGAGTGCCGGACCAACCGGGCTGTGGTGGATATGTGGGCCTGTGGGCCACTCCATAAAACAGCCTAGTGGACCAAGCTCTCACAAGTCAAGCCTGGCCCTTGGGGAGCAGAAGAACTCCCGGAACCCCATCAAGAAGGTATAATCATTACTTATACCAAACTACTGGTTTGT